TCGCCCGGCTGCGGGCACAGCGGAGCGCCGCTCTCCTCCCCCAGCCGCCGCCGGCGGTGGGGGAAAGTCAAACTGGCGCAACAAAGTTGCTCCCCCCCCGGCCGCCGCCCCCAGTTCCCCCCAGCCCGGCTCGGCCCCCCGGCCGCCGCCTTACCTTGCTTGACGCACTTGAGGCGGATCGGGTCCTTGCAGTGCTTGATCACGGCCAGCACATCCCTGATGGTGAGCCCGGCCACGGGGGTCTCGTTCACCTCCAGCAGCAGCTCCTCCGGCACCAACTTGCTGCCGCCCTCATAGGCCACCTTGCCGGGCTTCACCTCTCCCAGGTACGGGAACTGCCCGTTCTCGGCGCCCCCTTTCAGCTCGAAGCCCAGCTGCCCCTCCGGGTTCCGCACGATCACGATCTCGTGGACTCGGCTCGTCCAGTGGCTTTTCTTCTTCAAGCCCTTGGACATTGCCGTGGGGATGCTCTGCCCGACTCCCGCTCTGCTTGCCGCTCTCTCCTCCCTCTCTCTGCCCCCCTCCCCCGGGGCTCCTCTGGGGCACGCTCGGGGCAGGCTCGGGGCTGCGGCCGGCGAGGGGAGCGGGCGCCGCGGCCCCGCGGGGCGACGGAGCGGGGACGGGGAGAGCCTCTCTACCCAGTCCGAGCGGCCGCCGGCGCTTTAGCTGATATCCATGGCAGCCGCGGCAGCCGGGACCCTGCGTGTGGATGTACTAGTTGTAGAGAAACTGGCAGCGGGGAGGGAGGGAGAGAAAGAGGGAGGGGAAAAGGGAGGGAACGGCCGCGGGGAGGAGGAGCGTGGCGGCGGCGGCGGCGGAGTCGGGCGGGCGCTGCCTCGGCGTTCCCTCCTCGCCTGACCCGGTAGTGAAGGCCGAGAGAGAGGCTGCCTGGCACAGCCGGCAGAAGGCGGAGAGCGGCCGGGCGAGGGGAGGGCAGGCGGCTCGGTGCTCCCGGCCCGGCGGCTCCGCTGCCCCGCGAGGCGGCACCGGCCGACAGGGGGAGCCCGGGGATGAGGTGTCGGAGGCCGAGCTGCCCGCCGGTTGCACCATAGCGCCTGCCGGCCGGGCCTCTCGCCAGGCTGGCGTTCCTGCTGCTCCCCGCCTCCGGCACATCTCGAGCCCTCTGAGCCGCGCTGATCCCGGGCCCCATCCGAGGTGACCCGGCCGCCGTCCGTTCTGGCAGGGCTTCCCCGAGCCCGGCCTGCCGGGGGCCGCACGGGAGCGGTTCCCATCAGCCTGCCCAGGGAGGAGAGCTGCAAGCTGTTGAGGTGCGCTGGTGGCTCGCACCACTGCAGTGAGAAGCTCTGGGCAGCAGTTCAGGAAATGGAGCAACGGATTTCAGCTCAAGTCCGCGAGGAAGAAGGAGGCTGTGGAATGTGTGGAGGGGTTGGTTGGGAGTTCTGCTTCTGACGAGGGAGAATCCAGTGACAGGCTTCAGGTTGTCACAGGAAAAATAAAGCAGCCGTTTTCTTAGATCTCAGCATTACAACGTACACAGACCCTGCCACGCTTTCCTGCTCTGAGGTCTCACACTTCAGTTTATTGAGTTGTATTGTACATGGGCATACTTTTTAATGCTGATTACTGTGCCCACGGGACAGAAGCAGTATCACAGCTGGTGGGCAGTGAATGTTGTAGAGGGCACAGTGAAGAGAGGAGTGGTAGTGGTGTGTTCTCTATAAAATCATCTTGCTGTCACCTACCAGATCTCATTTGGTGCCATCTGCTTGGCTCTAAATCGTACATAACCTGAGCTACCGACGAGCAGCATTTCCAACCCCAAGTGCTTCTCTCTGTCTAAGCATTCAGAAGCAGGTGATAGTCCAGCCCACTGCTCCTGTGCGCATTTAATTTGTTCTGTCATATGCCTAACACGTGTGCAAGCAGTGTAGTGTAGCATTTGGCACGTATTTCTGAGAAGCTTGTCTTGCTGAAAAAAATAATTTCCATCTAAAGGGAAGATTGACAAATACAGGCAGAGCAACCTCCTGACTTTGAGAAGTGTAGTTTTTGCTTTTGCAAGATACAAGAGAAAAGAGTATATGAAAGGGTCTACTGGCTGGGTACAGGATGGGGGAAGGTAGGAGAAATGTCATGTGTTACAACATGTGATGTAAAGCTGATAAGATATTTTTAAAATTTCAATTAAAGTGACTCTGCAATGAAATTTTTCACAAACTGTATCACTGTTTTCTGTCTTGGTTTCTATGGAAACAGTCCTTTATGTGATCATGCTTGGCTATGTCTCCTTTATTTCTCCAGTAACTTTTGAAGCTGTTGGGCAGTTTCCACTAAATCTATCTCAAATATAATTAAGTTATTACATGAAAATAGGCAGCTGGCTAGGTCTGAGAGATCCTGTAAATGTCCCAAAGGCTGCAATATGAACTTTCTTTTTATTAAACAGTATTCACATGGATGAGAGAGACCATATAAATGTTTCAATAATGACAAAAGTTTAAATTACAACTCATTATCAGCCTCAGTATAAATCTGTGGGAAAGTAGAATTTTTTGAGTTTGTATTCTCCCCGTATTACTTATTTAATGTCCTCCTGCAGTCAGAGGTAAGTACAAGTAGAAAGGGTATGTGCAGAGGGGAATAAATAAATTTACAAACATCGGTATTCTGCAGATTATTTCATCTGTTTTGTTGAGTGGACCTGGGCATTGATGCAAAGCTCTCTATGACAAAACTAGCTTTAAAGTAAAAAAAAAAAAAAAAAAAAAAAAAGAGAGAGAACATGCAGAAGTGAAATAAAAGATCTGTAAGGACAGACAGCTGAAGATGGGAGGGGAATTCGAAGGCACATGGGCTAGGATTGAGAGATTGAGAGTTGACTAGGATCTGGAGTTGAGAGGGACAGATATTGCAGCAGCGATCTCCTTTTCTGTATACCATGGGAGTGTCCTCCTACTGAGACAACTAAGGGATACAGTATTTCTCTGCAGCATTCTTTTATAGTAGAGATAAGTTTTTTAAAGATTTGGGCTGACTGTATGTGGATAAAGTCTTGCTGTTATACCATCATTCATTCATATTCTCAGGACTTAGGGTAGTAAAGCACTAATGGAAATGCAATTTGTTTTCATCTTGATTTTGAAATATATTGCGGGGAAATTAAACCTCATATAGGGTTCATTTGTAGCAGCTATACTCAGAAGACAGTTGCATTTTTACAGCAGTAGACGGGTAGCTGTAAAACAGGATTATCTTTGTCACTGGCAGAGCAAATATCCAGCACGCGGCTGAGTGGCTGAGTTTGCATATTTTCTGCGTGGCCCCTGAAGAGCCTGAAAAAAGCTGTTGAACTTGCCAAGACCTTTTTGTTAGTCCCTTCCTTTGGATCTCACCCTAGAAAAGTATGAGCCAGTCCCAAGTGTGAATGTGAGGGTATCTACCACAAAAGACTTCCTATAGTTAGACGTAACAACAGCACGTAATGAAACACGTTCACCAAATACAGCGTAAATGTCTTTTATTATCCTTTTGCAACTGATCCTGTAAACACAGAAGCCTGTAAATCAATATACTTCTGGGATTAAAGTTGTGCCGATCCCATAAGTAAGCTGAAGTGTGAGACTTTGGTAAATGTATTTTGTAGCTGTAAAATTATCTTTTCCTATTCTAACACTATGGAGTCAGTAAAAAAAATAACTGAATTCTATCTGTGTTTAGAACATGGCCCATTTTCAGATAAGTGAATTTCCTCAAGTGGAAAATGATGTATTGCATGTGCCAAAGGGGAAAATACATATATATATTATTTACTATTATTTATTCAGCATGGAGTTCTTCTCTTATCTTGTACGTGTATTTGTAACACTGGACTTGAACTGAGAAAATGTGAAATTTCCTTCTTCGGCACATACTTCCTCTGTGACTGGACCTGAATGTTTTCATCTCTTATTTTTTACATTTTTAAGTAGGCATGATTAATTTGGTTTCTCTTTCACTGTTTTCTATTTAGTATGTCAGCTACTCAGCATCCTTATTCTTACGTGAGGCTTCTGGACACCACAGCCAAGCGCATATGTTGATATAGGACCTGAGTGCATATGTTGGTCTAGGACCTGGCAGAATTCAGATGTTTAAATTCAAATTCAGGAAGAAAAAAAAAGTCTATTCTCTTAGTTGCCTAAAAATATTGCAGTAGGTAATCTTACCGCTGGCAGAGCTCCAGAGTCTCTTAGCTGGCTTAGTTACCTTTTGCTGGGAGTTTTAAATGCTCTTAGGATTCCTTTCTTTCTTCTGTTAAAAACCGCAGTCCTAACCTTTGCAGTTTTTTATGATATTATCTTCTGCTACTCATGTCTTTAATGAGAATGATTTTGAAATATTATTATGAATAATACTATCCTTTCCAAATTCTGGCTTCTGATTCTGAGAATTTTTGTTTCAGAATACTAAAACATTCAACTAATTATCTAAAGCATTTTTTCCAAAGTCCTTCAAATTCTGAATGTTTTGATGAAAAAGACACATTTTTTTTCTATTTTACCACAAAACCAAAGAAGATTAAATAAAATAATCCATAGTTTTAGCCATCTGAGCTTCAAAATAAACTTCTGTTTAATTGTAGAATTTTCTAATGTGTATATATGTGATTTGAATTACACAACTTATTACTGTTGTGTCAGTAGCTCTTGTAGAGGTCAAATCTGTGAAGAATATGGGAAGAAAATCGCCTCCATGCCACATGAAAAATAAGTGGAACCTTCAGAAAGGAAGAAGAGGTGAAAGGGAAGGTTTCATCTAAATGGAACAGTTTACAATTAGTTTGAAACATTACAGGAGACATTTTGTTTTCTCCTGACCATCTCTGCATTGATCTTTGGTTTAAATGTGATCTTTTCCAGCTTCCTTTCTCTCTTTTCTCATCAAGCCTTGGTATTACATACTTCCTGTGCTGTTCTTGCTAGCTGCTGAAATGTTAATTAAGGTGAGATAAGGAAAACTTGTTGGAGGTCACCAACCTCCCCAGGGACTAAGTTGTGGGAGAGCAGCTGTCAAAATAAATTTGGTAAGAGCCATTAAAATAAACAAATGATGGCCTCTTTCCACAGAGATTTGGATGTAAATTGCATACCAGTATACACCCACAAAAGGAGACAGAAGTAGACAGAAACAAAACTTCATAGAATACCATACCAGAAAATAATCCTTTAAATCTGGCCTGACACTAGAAAGATAGCAAAAAAAACTACAAGTATCTGTTACTGTGAATGGGAGGAGTACAACTTACACCATGAATTACTGCTGTTGAAATCCTAATGGCACACAGTGCCTGGGTGGCTGGGATTTTTAAAAATATCAAATTAAGTGGCTGGGTAACTGCCTGTGTTTGATATGACTGCTTCTCCATTACCATGGCTCTAGTTTGTGTGCTTGGCTACCTTAAATTACCCCATGGTGACTGGTATGCCTCGATGGATAGCACTAGGTATTGAAGCACTGGATAATGCTGATTAGCCAGTATCTTGCACTGAATTGGAATTTCCAGTATCTCCATTTCGTTTATAATGTTTAGTATTAAGTGATTTATCTCAG